ACCGTTAGTTGTCGAATCGAATTTAGCGAGCGCGCTCGTTTAATTAAATAGTCTGATCTTCAGACCCTTGTACTGAATGGTCGTACGTTTTGTGCTGCGCAAAGATTCATTCATTTAATTAAGGCTATTCCAAGAAGTGTGTTATTGATGTAGACAAATGCTCATGTTCCCTTTATCTAGCTCATTTTATTTATGTTATTACAAAAAAAAAAAAAAAAAAGTCAGTCAGTCACGCAATACTGTCTGACAGTGAAGTCTAGAGAGTAAACAGGTAAACATTGTATAATTTGAAGCCTAGGACACTGAGCACATAACGTTTAAATTTCACAGATAGGACATACATGACATATTCATAATTCCTGCAAAGTTCTACAGAATTTGATGTTGGCCTCAAAAGAAATACACTATCTTTAATGTCACTTCCACGGTGAAAAAGTACCGTCTCCTTATTTTAGCCACCATCACTATCCTTTAGAGTAAAATCTTGGGTGTAAACTTCATTCAATGTAAAGTTGTGAATTTCCTTCTCTCTAACTCTGCTCTTTTGCTGAACTAATGCTGAAATCAACTTATAAACTCTTGGTCTGAAATAAACAGATTAGTCTAATTAAAAGAAGCGGATTTTTTTTGTGAAAAAGGTGTCTTTAGTACCGGGAAAGGGGGTGGTTGGAGGCTAAGCATCTAATACATTGTTCATCTTTGTTTTGTTTTTCTGGTTATAATTCACATACTTTAACAATAAATATTGAGACATTATTATCTCATCGCTGAGGGAGATAGAAATAATCTAGTAATAATATTAGGCTTGTGCATTATCTGATCAAGTATTCCACATTTCGACGTGATGCAAAGGTTACTGTTTTTCATTCACGGTTGTGTGAATCAGAGTCATGAAATTTATTTTTTTATTGTTATATTACCAGGCGATACAAATTATATCATTAACGAACTTTATTGAAAGAGAAGTGCATGTCGTTGGCACATTCGCTCATTTCAAGAATGTCCTTGTTTCTTACCATACCAGACACAGGTCTACATAATGGCCTCTACAAGGCAACACCTGCCAGACAGTCTGCAATGTCCAATCTGCAAGGATCTTCTCACCAAGCCGAAGCTTCTACCTTGCACACACACATTCTGTGAAGGTTGTCTAACCAAACTCCACTCAACTCAAGCACTGGGCGATCGGATAATGTGCGATGTGTGTCAATCTGTAGCACCTCTACCCAACAATAAAGTATCCAACTTTCCAACCAATCAAATTGTCGAGTCCCTTGTAGAAAATTTTAAAGAGAAATCGGACAAGGTTAAGGGTAGGGCATTTTCCAGGAAAAAATAGAACAGGAAACTGTTGTGATACAGAGCCACTCGTCGATCCTTTGAGAAGGAACATTATTGGCATGGTTCAAAATATCATCGGTCAACGAAGGCAAGAGATCGAGAATGTCTATAGGGCGCTCTCAAACGAATAAGACAAAGAAAAGCTAGATCAACCGCTTGAAGAGTGCTACATCTATCAGAGATTGCTCTGCGAAGATCTGGAAGGTATCATCGAGTGTAACGATGACTTCCTTCAGAACCTATCAGCCAAGGTTAATGTAGTCACCGGAGAGTCTAGTGCTCAACGTTCAGACCAGTCGTTGCCTGAGCGTGTCGCGCGAGTTGGTGAGCTTGAGGCTCTCGTGGAAGGACTGCATCTCTTTCTGAATCTATTTTCAAGACAAAATGTGATCGTCCTATTTAAACTACCCTATAGTCACACTGACAAGACCGACAAAAGACACATAACAGAACAAACGAACAATTTTAACTCCGTGAAAGGCTAAAAATCTGGGATGTAAAGAAGTTGGGTGTGAGCAGAGTCGTCATGGTGGTTTGTAGAAATGTATTAGGTCTTGTAGACATAATCGTACGGTAATATGTTGTGACCCAATGGTTCTAAGTCTCTAGTTAACGAAGTGTGACGTAATACGGGCCAAGTCATCAATGTTGCTGGTTCCAAACAATTTTTTTGCTAAACAATGGTGTGGTGATCACAACAGCCCCAAACATTGAACTCGCCCTGCTCCAGCCCGTTGCTTGAATGATTTTGCGGTGAACCTCATGTACAGGTTGTTGTTTAGAACCAGTAACCGGGACGATGAGCGAGTATGACGTTAGTACTTCGGTACTCTATTGTCTGAGTGTCGTTATTCTTGTTGGTATTACCGATAATGCTAAAAGAATCGGTTAATCACCTGCATTCATCGCGCAACGCATTTGTGCACGTATGTGACCGCGGGCAATTAAAATACGTCAATAACGTAAAATCTCAAGACACGAATGTACTGTTTTGAAGATAACTGAACTGGAATATCTAGCCTTAGTAAGAGACAGATTGCCCGTAAGTGATAAGAGTTTGATATAATGCGTGCATGCACAATATGATTATCGGTAGTATGTCTATCATCCTTTACAAACCAATTATCCCTTCTCAAAACTATATTTCCGGCTGATAGTCTCTCATTCTCTGTGTGTATCTCTCTCTCTCTCTCTCTCTCTCCCTCATGATTTTAATTCTTTCAATACTATCACAATACGATAAATAAAAAAATGATATTATGATTGTATATACCAAAGATATCAATTTCTTTTTTTTAATACCGTTTATAAAGTAGATTTTACCTACCCCACTTTTCAGTTTCAGTTTTGGCTCCTATCAATGAATATATTCCTTTTGCAATTTATTTCATCATTTTCAGTACAGTTCAAATGTCCGAATGTTCGAGCTACTCTAATTATATACTGATTATTACGAATTGTACATCCACATGACTGTACTACACTACAATCTATTCAAATAATGGTGCTTTCATTGTAGTCAGGACAGCATTGGTCTCATTGCTGTATTGGTCTTATTGCTTGTGGGAGAAACTACCCCCCCCCCCCCCTCACATTCTCTTCAAATGATGGTTGATTTTATTCTACCTACTTGAAAAATATCTTAATCTTCTGTAGCTATCCAGGTTTATGCATATCCATAGTTATTATGAATAAGGATGCAAATTATGGTATTTGAAGCTTAGATATTGGCTGGATCATTAAACCTCTTGACTTTCAGGGCGGAGTTCGAAATGATGGTTTTGGATCACAATGAGTATGGATCAATGCACACTCGACACAACTAAATTTTTTCATTCAAATAACAAAAAAATCTGTCAAAAAAAATTCGAAAACTCGAGTTGTTATCAATGGCCTACGCAACGTGTACAGATGGAGGCGTTAACAGAAAGAGAGAGAGAGAGAGAGAGAGAGACGGGTAGACAAGGAGTGTTCCTTGGGGAAAACCCAGCGCACAATCCCAGCGTTTAACAAAATCGAATTGTATGAAAATAAATGGTTTTATTATGTGACAACTACAGAACAAGTGTCTACTTTTGCATTAGACTGCTTATCGTTTTGCCCAACCAATGGTTATATTAATATATCTCGCCTTTGGACCCTTTGTGCTTATAGCTAGCTGGAGTTGATTCGAAATGAACAAGTTGCTTAATCATAATTATGCACATGGTGATTAACGAAGGGAGCATTTTGAGAACTGAGATAGCTAAGCCAGTGAATTCCACTACATGGTTCGTCGAACACTGCGTATGCTGTGAGTACCCAACTTCCTGGTATAATGTGTTAGGCCAATGTTGTACAGGAGCACAAACGTTGACGTACCAACAATATTTATCATAAATGTATTGTTAATGCGTAGGACTATGTAGTGTATGGAGTATATGCAAGTACATAGCCTCCGCGTCCCATGGCAGCTTAATGTCACTTCCATGGTGATAAAACTACTGTCTTTTTAATCTTAGCCAACATCACCATCCTTTGATGAATCATTCGATTTATTTATACATTTTAACCAGGTCAAAGAAATTGTATAATTAAGGACTTTTCGATTTGCCCGTCGACAGCTTTGACTGCAACGTGTGACGTTATTTTAAGGCACTGCGCATGCGTCACGTCGTCTCAGTCGGCGATCGAGAATGCGTCAACCTTGATTTTCCTAAATCTGGTACGGTACAAGTATATGCCGCGTGCGCATAAAATATACAGTTCCTCAGGTAGACAAAGGAAGATCCCTTCCCTGCTATTATGTAAAAATGTGTAGAACAGGTGTCACATGCATATTCACCTGTTCTACAAATTTTTACATAATAGCAGTGAAGGGATGTTCTACCACAGCAACAGACCAGTTTCGTAATGTAACCAAATTTAATGCATACGTCTTTGTGAAGTACCTCAATACAAATTATTTCATTCACCTGATAAGAATAATAATATTTCAATAGTCAGAATGCAACTACATAATAAGTGTTGCTAGGTAGGTCAAGCCATAATGTTTGTCCAACCTGGCAACAACTAATGTATGACGTTCGGATTCTGTCTATTAAAATACTTTTATTCTTATCAGGTGAATAAAATAATTTGTATTGGGGTTCTTCACAAAGACGTATGCATTAAATTTGGTTACATTACGAAACTGGTCTGTTGCTGTGGTAGAACATCCCTTCACTGCTATTATGTAAAAATGTGTAGAACAGGTGAATATGCATGTGACACCTGTTCTACACATTTTTACATAATAGCAGGGAAGGGATCTTCCCTAGTATTGAGGCACTTTACAAAGAATTATGCATTAAATTTGGTTACATTTCGAAAGTCGCCTATTGTTGAGGGTAGAATGAGGAACTGTATATTTTGTCCTCTTTCTTTGTTCGCCATGTTCACAGTGTTACTTCCTGCATGCATGTATATCGTCGAGTGCAATCTAAAAGATTTCTAAATGTAGTCAACATGGGCAGTACTTGAGTACGTTGACACGCATGATCAGTCGGCGTTCGTCGTGTTCTCGTCTACTCAATCTAAAAGTCCCTATTAATAAACTTCATTGACAGGGTAGTGTCGTTGGCACATTCTCGATTTTTTTAAAGGATTCCTTTATTTCTTACCAGACACATATCAGCATAATGGCCTCTGCAAGGCAACTTCTGATAGACAGTCTGCAATGTCCAATCTGCAAGGGTCTTCTCACCAAGCCGAAGCTCCTACCTTGCTCGCACACATTCTGTGAAGGTTGTCTAACCAAACTCCACTCAACTCAAGTTCTGGGCGATCGGATAACGTGCGCTGTGTGTAGCTCGGTTGCACCTCTGTCCAAAAATAACGTATTCAACTTTTCAACCAATCAAATTGCCCAGTCCCTTGTAGAAGATTTCAAAGAGAGATCGGTCAAGAAGAGAATGACCGATGTAACGGATGGCGGTTCCTCTGGCCAACGATGCACCGTGTGTGATGCTGATGATCAAGGGCTTGCTACCTTCTACTGTCAGCATTGTTCAGAATTCCTCTGCGACTCTTGTCTTGAGCAGCACAAAAGGTTTAAGAAGTATGTCTTTCACGAGCTTGTTAGTGCTAGAGACATCGCATCAGGGGAAATCAGAAAACAACTTGCGTGTACAGAACATCCCAGAGAACTGCAGCAGTTCGTGTGTATCACATGTCAGGTGCGCATCTGTTGTAGGTGTTTGGAAGTGGGTCATATGCCTGACAGGCATGATGTAATCGGAATTGAAGTGTATGAAGAGGGCCACAAAGCAGCAGTTGATCTTTTGCAGGAACAAATAGAACAGAAAACCACTGTGATACAGAGCCACTCGTCCTTTGTGAAGGAGCAGATTGGCATAGTTCTAAAAAGTATCGGTCAACGAAGGCAAGAAATCGAAAATGTCTTTGAGGGAGCTGTCGAACGAATACGACGAAGGAAAGATCAACTGCTTGAAGACTGCAACACCTTTGAGAGAACGCCATGTGAAAATCTTGAAGGAATCATCCAGTGTAACGATGACTTCCTTGAGAACCTATCAGCTAAGGTTTCTGTAGTCACCGACGAGTCTACAGCTCAACGCGTAGACCAGTCGTTGCCCGAGCGTGTTGCACGAGTTGATGAGCTGGAGGCTCTCGTGAAAGGAGACAACCCTGATTCATCTCTTCCTGAATCTATAGCACTCCGTGCAGAATTCCTGACCTTCCAACAAGCTGCAGAGTCCAAGGGTCTTGACCTTGGAACTGTTCAGTTGGCTATTGCAACCAGGAATGCAGACATCAGAGATAATGCACCCCTGTGGCAGCTTGCGTGTGAGCTCTCTCCTTTCCTTGTAAGTTGCGTGGCATATTTCTTATTTTCTTATTGTATCGGACATTGGTCAAATTGTCCTTACCTCCCCTCTCTGGGATGTGCTTTTTTCAACAGTTCTTATTTTGCCTATGATGACTCTTTTATGGTCTTCACAAAAGACACATCCAGCAAGCATGAGCCACTATTCAACGGAAGAACTGATTGTCTTGAATAATCGGATTCCAAAAAAACAATAAGAAAAGGATTTTCCCTCTATTGATGCATCGTTTAAGGTTCTTAGGTACAAAGAGAATACCAGCCACATGAAGAGGGTTCGGGCTGGAAGGACCAAGGATCGCCCTTCTCTTCAGTCTCTGTCACTCTACCAAGTCATTAAGCCGGCCGATGAATGCAATGTTTAATTTGGATTTCTGACGGCCCGGTGGCGAAATTTTTATTCCAAAACAGGTTTGCAATTTCTTATATATCCGTTCTTCTCAATGGCTGATATGTTCTACGTCATTAGCAGCTTGGAAAGAGGTCACAAACAATTAGACTTTGATTTTGTATTGCTTTACCTCACTATTTATAAAGGCAAAAAAACTGAATAAACTGTGACTTGAACCCACAACTCTAAGATTGTATTACGCTGACCTTAGCGATTGAGCCAACGATGGGTTAATGAAAAGTGATTCTGCATGATTTCTATAACCCTATCTTTCACCCTAACGGTTACGTCATTGCTAATGACGTAACATATCAGCCAATCAGATGACCGGAAATATTAGCATTGGCAAACCTGTTTGGGAAGAAAAAAATTAGCGGCCCGGTGTGTTAAGACAAAAAATTAAATCATGAATGTATATTGCCATTTTGAAAATGCACATAATTTTTTTTTTATTTTAGGTGTGTCTTTGATCTCAATCGGGAGAGATATGTATTAAATTGAACATAGAACTATATGAATGATGAAGTGAAGGTCTGGAATGTGTCACTGATGGTAGAGAGTTAATCAATTCAGCTATGTCAGGTATTATTGTGCTGGCCTTATCTAATATAGTGGTGATAGGAAAGGCAGCCATGCAACTCATGTTGATCTAGTTTTGGGATGAACCGTTTAAATGAATTGACCGTATTTGTAGCTGGGAAGATTACATTTCAGAGTGTTACTTGTAATGATTTGGTTTCGGTGAAATCTGACCGCCCATTGTTACAATGTAGGCAATGATTATAATTCACATTTTTAAAGGTCACATACACATATACCCGTTTATCATTGTAATAAAACAGTTTATTGTTCTTTGCAATGTACCCTGCAGGATTTAGGAGTGGGTAGCGGGAGTGGTTGGCGGGATCGAGAGGGTGACAGGAGGGGGCGGTGAGATTAGGGGGAGATCGATAAGGAAGATATTGCATCTGTATATTACTATGATTGAAAATTGATATTGTATGTAAATAAATATGATTTTTCTTGGCTTTTTGTACCATTGGAAGAAGAAACCATTTTGAAAATGGTCTTGAAATCGGCTATTGGCCAACCGTTTGTCTATACTTTACACATTTACTTACTTTCTTATCATTTGAAATGTGTGTATATGTATGTTTTTATAACTTGTTTGTACTCATGTATTTCGGGATAAAACAGTCAAAAAACAATATTACTTCCATTGCCTCTTGTACAGTAGAAATAAAAGCAAAAGCAAAGTTATTAGCAAAAAAAATGTACCTTTATTGTCTTTATAATGGTTGTTTTGTGGCTGATGGTATTGAAAGCCCATACGAATCATTGTTTTTATTGATGTATTTACATGCTTTTGAACCACTGTCTATTCAGGAAAACCTACTTGATATGGTATACATTCTTTGTGGCTGTTCTCGTAAAGTGCACTAGTCGCTAGTCGTTCGATTTTCTTGCTTCATTTATCTCTGTGGGTTTTTTGCCTGGAAATTAACTAACTGAATAAATGAAATCACCTTTTTCTTTACAATTAGGCTTGTCCTACATGTCGAGTTTTGATTGTTTGACACGTGTTGCTTCCCTGTGTCCATATATTCTTTTGTGATATACAAAAAACTTGTCCCCATCTCATCAAGACCGATCAGAGACATCAATCTGTAAATCCTGTCAGGGTATATTGAGTCAAAAAGAGGTGACTTTGAGAGTAAACATCTTTAAGGTGGATCAGGAGAGGAAGCTCTGAAGACATGACAAGTCAATGCTCACGCTAAACTAGCCACTGTGACAGTCAGACAGGTGGCCTTTCTAGCCAGGTCCAACAACACACATTTCTTCCTATAGGAAACAATTGTGGTGGTGGTGGTGGTGTGTGTGTGTGTGTGTGTGTATTTGGATGTTTACAGACGTATATCAATCAGATATGATTATTTACGACCTTTAACGTCACAATCCGAAAGACGCGACTCAGATTTAAACCGAGGTCGTCTGAGCCAGTTTGTAGGCGGCTGACCAAGTGAACGTGCCGCTAGACCAACTCAAATCTCCCTGTTTCTGTAGAAGATGAGTTGCCTGATGCTGAAATAAATTTATAAAATACATGTACAAATTGTTAGAAATAACTAAATATACATTATCGGAGAATCGCGTTGAAAAGAGCCATACTTTAAGCTTGTCATCTTGCACTCATTAAAGTAAAACGCAAGAATGAAACAGAAAGCCGAACTCGAACAATATAAACGGAAACTAAATATACATTATTGCCTCTCACTCTTCCTGTTAGGGGAATGGAAACAGATATGACATTTGAGCTTTTAAAACTGCAGGCTTGCTGGGATATGAATATAGACGAGACTCAATACCTAATTATATTTAGTTTGTGGGAGAAACTATTTTTCACCATTCTCAAATGATGGATGATTTTATTCTACCAACTTGTCAAATATCATAATCTTCGGAAAGTATTATACCTAATATAGGATAATGCATGCCCATGGTATTATGAATATAGATGCGCATTATGCTATTTGTAGCTTATATATAGGCTAATACAATACAAATATTTGGCTTTCAGGGCAAAGTCGAAATAACGATTTTGGATCACAATGAGTACGGATTCATTCACAATCGACACGATTACTTTATCAAGTTATTGAAGAAAAATAATCCGCCAACAGCCCAACAACTTTGAAAACTCGAGTCGTTACCAATGACCTACGCAACGTGTAGAGATGGAGACGTTAACATAGAGAGAGAGGGAGAGAGAGAGAGAGGAGAGGGAAAAGGAGAGAGAGAGAAGGAGAGAGAGAGAATCGGAGACACAATGGCCCGAATACACAAAGGAGGTTTGTCGACCTCCTTTGTGAATTCGGGCCATTGAGTGTTCGTGGGGAAAACCACAATCCAAGCGTCGAAATCAATTGGTACAATAAAGTCGGAAGTTCAATAACTTACAGGTATAACTTCTATAATATTAAATTGTATTATCATGTGACAACTACAGAACAAGTGGCTACTTTTACATAAGACTGTTTATCGCTTTGCAAAAACGATGGTTGTATTTATATATTTCGCCTGTGGACGCTTTGTGCCTACAGTTAACATTAGTTAATTCGAAATGAACAAGTTGCTTGGTCATAATTATGCATACGGTGTTAACGAGGGGAGTTTTTTTAGAACTGAGATAGCTTAACCGTTAAACTCCACTACATGGTTCCTCAGACACTACACATGCTGTGAGTACCCAACACCTTAGTACAAAGTTACATGATACATGATACTGTATTATTTTGTTCTATATTTGTAAATACAAAACAAATAAGTTTTACATTCATATGTATAAAAAAATATACAGAAAAAAATCTTGCCAAAGAATGGAACTAGGCTCGACTAGCACTTGTGCTAACTTCTAGTTCCCATTAACAACTTCACCTAAATATAGTAATACACATATTTACGTATATATTTTCTGTACATTTAATAGTATGCAGATGTATGTCTAAATATCGTTTTTAAACCATTACTGTTCGATCGATATTACTCTTATGTTATGTATACATGTATCAGTATTATTTTTTGCATTGTATGATTGTTCATAATTGTACTGTCATTATTGTGATGTGTTGTTGTTAATAAATTTAAATTCAAATTCAAAATAATGGGATATAATAATGCTGACTTCTTGCCAAATGTGAGGTGCCATGTTTTGGGCCTCTGTCGTACGGGCGAACATAGGTTGACGTACCAACAATATCTATCATAAATGCGTGGGACTATGTAGTGTAGGGAGTATATGTAAATACATAGTCTCCACGTCCAATGGCAGCTAATGTCACTTCCATGATGATAGAAGTACGCTCTCCTTTATCTTAGCCACCATCACCATCCTTTAGAATAAAATCTTGGGTATAAACTTTAGTGTAAACACCATCCAGTGTAGACTTTTAAATGTTCTTCTCTCAAACTCTGCTCTTTTTCTGAACTAATGCTGAAATCAACTCCTGCTCTCAAATAAGCAGCTTAGTGTAATTAAAAGAAGACAGGAATAAGGTGATGCCTTTGGTACCGGGAAAGGGGGTTTAATAGAAGCTGAGCATGTAATACATTGTTCATATGTATATTTAATTTTCTGATTATCGTTCAAATACTTTAACAATAAATATCGGATGTATCATTATCGTAACGCTGAAGGAGATTATCTGATCAGGTATTCCACATTTCGATGTGATTCAGAGAATACTGTTTTTCATTCACGGTTGGGTGAATCAGTGTCAATAGATTTATCTATTAATTATTATATTACTAGACGGCGGAAATTATATCATTAACAAACTTTATTGACAGGGTAGTGTTGTTGGCACATTCGCTCATTTCAAGAATTTCTTTGTTTCTCACCAGACATATTTCAGCATAATGACCTCTGCAAAGCAACATCTGATAGACAGTCTGATATGTCCAATCTGCATGGGTCTTCTTACCAAGCCGAAGCTTCTACCTTGCTCACACACATTCTGCGAAGATTGTTTAACCCTGGTCCACTCTGCTCAAACTCAAGCTAAAGATCTGATACCGTGCCCTGTGTGTCGCTCTGATGCACCTGTGTCCAACAATAACGTATCCAACTTTCCAACCAATCGAATAGCCCAGTCCCTTGCAGAAAATTTCAAAGAGGGATCGGACATGAAGAGAACGACCGATTCAACAGATGGCGCTTCTTCGGGCCAACGTTGCACTTTGTGTGATGCCGATGATCAAGGACTTGCTACCTTCTACTGTCAGCATTGTTCAGAATTCCTCTGCGATTATTGTCTTAAGCAGCACAAACGGTTTAAGAAGAATGTCTTCCACGAGCTCGTTAGTGCTAGAGACATCGCATCAGGGGAAATCAGAATCCAACTTGCTTGTCCAGAACATCCTCAAGAACTGCAGCAGTTCGTGTGTAT